CTTTATCCACCGAGCGGTCCATCTAAAAAGCGAGGACGTAGAAGCCACCTGCCCAACGAGCGCTTGGTAAGCTGCTGATAATCCGTAATGAAATATAGGCTCTAGGGTGAGCCTGCCATGGAAACCAAAAGGTCCTGTCTGTGTTCTTCCACTTCAGGAGCCGATCTGTTTCGCACAACTCAAAAGTAGGGACACGAGGTGACAAGCCCAAAAGCCTGAGGATATACCTTTTGCAAACAACTAACAAAATGGAAACGATTCAGTTTGAGTTTTGTCTTTCTTGAAACAGTTATGCACAAGGTAAACCTCTTGGACCCACACAACTCCCCCCCCCCCCATATTTGCCAACATAAAACTAAAACAGTTCCTAGATCCGTCACTCTCTTCCATGAATTACCTACAGTTCATCAGAGCCTTTTAAGATAAAAGTGTTTTTTGGCTCTTTGTTTTGATTTTCTGCATTTGGCTCCCTATGCTATGTCTCATTGGCACAAGGCCATTCTGTTCCACATCTACAAAACATATCAGATTTATCCCTCTCTGGTTCTGCTTCTAACATCTACCTCTAATATCTCTTCATCAGTATTCCTATTCTCTCCTTCCACTTACAAGTCTTCTCTCATCAATCTTGCTCTGCAGTCACCTCAGATCTTAACAGAATTGTAAGGATCAGTTGATTTAAGAATAGTTTTAAGCATCAAGGTGGTCTGCAACTAAGTACCATTAATACAGTTTAAAAAGAGGCTATTATAAGCACCTAAAGCCAGAATAATTTTGGCATAGCAGGGAACAGTTCTGCCTTGACAGAAGTTAAGAGAGTAATTAACTTTTTTTCCCTGTCAAATTGATTCTTTGGAGTTTATTTCAGCTTACTAGAAGTTTGAACATGACAGCTCACATTACCATACACCTCTCAAATGATATACCCATTGAATTTGGGCCATAGCGAGACCTAAAATCCCTCCCACGGGCTGTTAGGATGCTCAGGCAGAAGAGTTTCACTGATGAGGGCCAGCTCCCCATTAAATATAATCTGAATACAAAACGCTGTTACACAGCCTTTATCTCCCTCAAAAAGCTTGTCACATATATATTTTTAGGAAGCTTGAGAACCACAGCCACTCAGAAACAAAAACATTTCGTTTCCGAGGTTGCTGCCTGGAAGGCTGCGCTTGAAAACACTAACAGCTCCAGGCTCGAAAGGGAAAGGGAGCCTGGAGAAGAGAACAACTGCAAGCCGGATGTGCAATCTGTAGTTACACACGCAGGGTAGAAGTGATCAAATTCTGATCTGTTCCATTATGTTTTCTTATTGCTTATATCTAAAGAAAAAAACCAAAGCACCCCATAGAAACTACTTCCGGAACGGTGTCCAACAACCAAATGCCAACGCTGAGTGGTGGAAGACTATTCCTCATTAGACAAAGCTGACAAATAGAAAACCAAAGACGAACAGACTCAAACAACAGAAGAGAGAATCTTACAAGTACTGTTATCTCACTAATGATTTTTAAAAAGGCATTCCTCAAAAGTCACCTGAAGGGGCAAAAAATAATTTAAAATTCTAACAGCAACTGAGATTGGCTGCCCTGAGAACAAGGATGGGATTCACCCACCAGAAAACACTTGAGAGAGCAGCCACCCATTAGGGATAAGACTGACAGATTTACAAGATTTGATTATTCTTTCACAGCCAAGGCTGCTTACACAGCGATAGGACACCTAACTGGGAACTGGAGGAAAGCTCTATCTATTCCTGCATGCTACAAATACTCTCCCCAACACACAGTGTTTCAAAAAAAAAAAAAAAGTTTGGAAGAGGCATCATTTGTTCAAATCGATGGGACCTTTTCTGCCTTGATACACCCTCTCAGTCTCTGCTATTCTTCACTCCACCCACTTCAGAAACCTCTTCGGTCAGCTGTATGCAGTATAAAAGCTAGTGTAACCCATGCCAATTCCTGATCTTGCAACTGAGAGCAAAGTGCTGCATTCACATTAATGCCCAATCACTTTAAATTGGCTGGTGCGGGTACATTACAGAAAGAATCTGTAATTACATTTCATTATGCTACTTAAGAAGGGAATCACTCCAAATTAATTCTTTTTCCTCCAGTGAAGATCTCTCAATACTTTAAAATATTGCTGTAAATCTGTATAACAAGGGGACATTTGAATTCTGTTGGTTGTTATTCCCGACTTACACCACGTAGCTCATCAATGCAACTGCCTTTCTAAACTGCTGCCATGTGCAGTGACATCCAGCTTGCACTGAACAAACCCAGGCACAGACATCAGGCATTTTGGAAGAAGGTCCTCTCCCCCAACGCTGAGAGGAAACGAGCAAGCAGCTATTGAATTATTTTTACAGGCAAAAAAAGAAAGAAAAAAACGTGCAAAAAGAAGGAAAAACACTGCTAGAAAAGTGGTCATATTTTAAAGGAGGAAAAAAAAAAAATTAAGAGGTTGCAAAAAGAGTTCCTCAGTCTACAAAGCTAATTAATCTTTTTGCCAAAAAGTTTTCAAACTCTTCCCTACTTGTTCCCCTCTCCCTCCAAAGAAGCAGGTTTTTGGGATGCAACTGTCTAGCATCCTCCCTAAAACCTCCCCAGTTACATTTAAACTATACTGACAAGGACTGAAAAAAAGTAAAAGAAGGCAAAAATCAAAAGTTGGATTTCAGAGCAAACAGGTTTCGAGTTCTCTCTCCCCTCCTCCTATCCTCCTCTCAGTGTTTTTATCTGTTACGGTCTAGTCTCTTCAGTTAGGCCACACTGAGGGTATTGAAGAAGTCCATTCAATTATATTATATGCAACTCATTAACATAATTTCAATAATGAAGTCATGCAATCAACAAATTTTAAAACTTACCCAAAGGCAGACAAGAATACACAATCATCATGCAAAATATTCGCTACTCTTTCAAAGGTTCTGTAATTGTCAGAGTCCTTTTGCTCAAAGTATCCAACAATGTTTCTTCTGCTGCGCTGTAAAAACAAAGGTTAAATTAGAACTTGCCTCAAATTACCAAAAACTATCATTACTCCCTAAGGATGTCAAATACAGAGGTGCCACCCATTCAGCAGTAAATAACTCTAAAGAACCCACTGCTTTTCTGCGTTTTCGATATTGAGAAGCATCCTTGCAAATATTCTTCCAGGAATAAAACACGAGAAGTTTTCTTGTCAAACAGAACATATGATCCTCTTCAAATGATTAAAAGTAAAATAAGCTATTTGGTAGTGCAGTTATTGTAACAAAATAAGTGCAGTTGAAAGTGATTATATTGGAGTAATTTGTAATGCTAGAAATGGTCCAGTTTTCCACTTAAAAAAAAAAAAGGCAGTTGCAACATTTCTGAATGGAAAAAAAAGGGAGTAAATATGTCCTTCAAATACACTGCATTTCATCAGTTCAACATTAAAATATGTATTTAGAAGGAATAAAATTGAAGGACTTACATCAAGAGAACTGATTTCTTCCAAGTCCTGGACCTCCCGAATAGGGTTACTCTTCTGCTGCCTGATGTAATCTGCGATTGCTGTCACAGATCTCTGGCCCCTGTATTCTCTCTTCATCATCATTCCATTCCGGAAGAGTTTCAGAGTTGGATATTTGCTTATCCTGTATCTCTGAGCTATATCCGCTGCAAAAAAGAAATGGAGAAAATAAACCCCAAGCCCTACAAATACAGAAATACACTGAACATGGCAGCTTAGGCACGCGTATGTGCGCACCTAAGTGCAACCTGGGAACCAGCAGTTCCACATATTTAGAGAAGAACAAAAACCAGAGCCCAAACACCGCTACAGGGGAGAGAATGGGTATGTCTCGCATGCACTGATCGTTACTGAAGAACCACGACTGAAATGCAGGGTAAGTAAAGACTCGGCTTTGTCAGCTATGCTCATGTTCCTCTGAACAACTAGGAAAGCCAGTTTCAGGGTATAACAAGAACAGGAGAATTTTAAAAGCTTGCCAGATCTCAGTTAATCAATCCACAGGAGAAAACTTTAATAAAATAATTCAACTCCTATTTTTCTTTAAACTCAGTATGATTTTTATCTCAGTTACAGTACTGGCAATACAACTGTCATGGCTTAAATTTCAGAGACTGTGAACCCGATGCAAGGTATTTCTTGTAGCTTGTGAAGGCCAGACGAGTGCTGTTACAGTTCTGAGCTGCTCGGGTTTTGAACGAACAAGAGATTTCGGGTTTCAGAATTAAGGCAAACACCTCTCTGCTCATTCAGTGCCAGCATTCCCTTCCAGGCAGTTGTTCTTTCACACCTGCGTGGGCAGCCCAGCGTTCCGCTAGACAGGGACTGCACAGAACTTCACACAAGTAACACGTATCTGCCTTCATGTGTAGTCTAGGAGCGCTGCTTTCACCTTCATATAACGGGGCAGTTATTTATTCATTCACAAGATGTATAAATGTAAAAGAATTTAAAACAAAAATGGAAAGAGTTTTTACAGTAAAATTAGAAAAGCAGCAAAGAAGAAAGCCAAGCAGAAGCAAGAAAGCCCAGCTTCCCACACGTGTGTCCTGTGCCCTGTGAAGATCTGTGGGATCTTCAGTCAGTACTAAGGCAATAATACGGCTCATCACTACATCCCACCACAAGTACTTCCAGGGTCTCTCTGACCCCTTTCCAGTCTGCTTCACCACTGGGACGCAGCAAGGTGCGATAGGTGTTGCAGCTAGTTCCCAGCTACGCGTCGATGGGGAAACACACTGTCGTGGTTTAACTCCGGCTAGCAAAATACCACGAAGCCGCTCTCACAAATTCCCCCTCCCCTCCTCCAATGGAGGGGACGAATTGGAGGAAAAAGAAATAAGGAAGCTTGTAAAATTGAGATAAGAACTCTTTACTAATTAAATCTAAATTCATATATACAAGTACTACTAATAGGAAGTGATTAAAGCAATAGAAAATAAAACATATGATACAATACGATACAATTCCTCACCACCCACCGACCGATGCACAACAGGTGCTGAGCAGTGGGAGTCAGACCCAGAGAGCCCGAGAGCCGCAGCCCGAGAGCGATCGCAGGCCGAGGGCCGCAGGCCGAGTGCTGCCGCAGCAGATTCTGAGCAAACCCTATGAGCGATAGCATGACCGGGAAAAGTAAACAAACCACCCAACTCCCTCACGAACAAGCCAGCACAGGAGTTAGCGAAGCAGCTAACGCAGGAGTCAGGGTGAGGATTCGCAAGTGTATGGGAGCGAATGAGAGCGAGTAAGGGAGAGAGTAATGGCTCCCGGACCCCCTCCTCGCCTCTGCCCCCAGCATGATGTACTGTGGAATGAAATACCTCTTTGGTCAGTTTGGGTCAGGTGCCTGAACTGTGCCCTGCACTGTCTGTAGCGAGACCGCGAGAGCTGGGAATGCAGCTGCAGTGTCAGAAGCGGAGAAAAGACCTTGAATTCAGTGCAGGCATTCCCCAGCGCCAGCTAAGAACTTATCAGTGCTGCTCCCTGCATCCAGGAACAGCTTCCTAGCAGCCACGGTAAAGGGAGTTAACTCTTTCCTGACTGAACCCAGCACACACACGTAAGCAGCAAGTGGTTCATGGCACACTGAGCTCGACCCCTCAGCCTCGAGTTTTTACAGCAATATTTGCGACATACACATCTCCAATATCCAGAAAGCTTGTAACTACTTAATAGCTTCTGCCCCTCTTCCAGATGTGACTGAAGTTCAGCAAAAAGCTTCAAGGATTTTTTTTTTCCCCTCCAGGAAGGACTGGAGAAACAAGGCAGCCAGATACGCTTTGGATTCTTAGGAAAACAAGACTACAAACAAACATGAGAACAGATTACTTTCCTTTTGCTTTGTTTATAGATGCCCTCCTGTTCACTCCTCCCTGGGAAATCTTATCTAGAAACAACAAAATCTCACAGCCCCTGTGGAAACTGGCTGTCTTGTATTACAGGGTGGGATGTCGTTCACCTAAACCACAATCACATTTGCACTTAAATACAACTGAATCCCAAATTGTGAGCAGTCTGCCCACCTTCCAGAGCTGCTTAACCCTTCGAGGGGATTCATTCCCGCCAACCACACCCACCCCACCTCCCTTTCTCTCTCAAGGAAAGGGAGACAGAACCTCAGTGGACCGATCTGCCCTTTGTGGAGAGAGACGTTTCATCCAGTCAACGGAGAGGAAGACATCCAAAGCGTGCACTGAACGCGCAGCCTGTTCCTTTTCCCTGACTCCTCAGAAGTCCAAGGGTACACCCGGATCGGCCCACAGCAGGAAGGCAACCGAATGAGGGTCCGTCAGTGTATCTGGCACAGTACCGAACGATGTAAACACTAATCCTTTCTGACAAGAATGTCCTTTCTTCTCAACTACATGTTTACCATGACGCAGATTTGCCTTCTGTCTTACACTTCTTTAGAGAGGGTTAGGGTCCTGTGAAAGCCGTTATTTAGAGGCAGCTGCCACGACCAAAGTGCTGAAAGCTGAGCAGCTAAAACACGTCTCAGCTGCAAAATCCTCCACAACTGGAAATAAGTCAGTTCCCTGGGGAACTGTGCCTGGAATTGTCCTCCAGCACACACAGCTCGCTCTCTCTTTTGGAACTTTAAGAGATAACAACAAAAATAATTAATTCCCTGCTGTCTGGAGAACACTCAGTGGAAAAAAAAAAAAATCAGTTTTAGCTGCTGTTAAAAAGCCATTAATGTCTTGCAGCTTTAGTTACTGAAAACAATGCTTCTAGCAGCTGCACCACTCAAACTAGTCTGGGAACTGAAAACAGAATGTGCACAGCAATGGAGTAAGAACCAGGTCTCCTCCACAAGTGTTCTTTAACACCCCTCAAACCAGTAAGTTTAAAAGCTTCACCAGCGAAGCCCAGTTCCTAACGAGCCTAAATAAAATAGAATCCAGCCTATCAGTTTTGACTAAGAAAGGATTTGACCTGTTTCCTAACAGTCACAGAAGTTTCTTAATGCACTAATTGCAATTAAAACTAAGGGTAAGACAATTTATCTCCTCAGAGTGTTTTTATTTCAAATTAATACACATCCCTCAAGGGAAGATGTCAATATATTCAACAAACTATTAGTTTAATACTTTTTTCTTCCTTTCAAACGCTGTCACTTTTTAGTTAAAGCACCCAAGAGCTGCCGGCACAAAGGTGGCGAGTGTATCGGGGGGGAAACCCTTTACATTTGCTCAGCGCCGGCAAACCAGGCATTCGCTGCCCTTCTCTCCTGGTGACAGAAGGACCTTTGGTCTCACGGCGCGGATGCCTTCCAAACTTGGCCAAGGTCCCATAAGAGACAAGGAGCACTATGCATCAAGGCTTTGAAGAAACACACTTGAGGTTAAAGACTGTTACAGAACTCCACAACAATGGAACACCAAAACTACACTTCTGTCTCACAACATGGACTTTTTCCTTCAGGTTATTTGCATAGGAATATGAGGATGCACGTGTTGCAGAATGGCCCTTCAGAGAGTCTTCCAGGGTCTCCGAGACTGAGATTTCAGTCCTTAGGGATGTGACTCTTCATCAAGTGCTGAAGATGCATAAAAAGATTAATGGCAATAAAATGCCCACTGTCAAGAACGAATTCAAACATTCTTTCCTAAGTCAGAACTCTTTACAAATTAGATTGAGATTCCATGAATACTGGTGTTTGAATTAAAACAGAGAAATGAGAGTCCTACACAAGAAAGTATTTGAAAACCATCTTTTTACAAAATATAAAATGCAAGTACATGAAAAATTGTTTGAATAAGAGTAAACCTTAAATGCTTCATTAAACCCTGGCATTTGATACAGGTAGAGTTAGCATAAGCTGAACAACTACAAAATTATATTCCTATTAAAATTGGAAATACACAATGCAAATACATGGAATATTGTTTGAACTCACTGAAAGATCGCATTAGTTATAGTAAATCCTAAATTAAATTTAAAAATATTTCCAGACATTCTCACTGCCCGTTTTCTGAAGAAAAGAGGTATTTGAAATAGGTAAGGGTAACCTACCTAAAGAAGAAAAAAAGACCTCTCAGCTATGACTTTACCCTCAGAAACCCAAAAGGTACAAACCTTGAGTTCGTATTTTGCACAGTTACCCAGTAAATCGCAAGCGTGGTGTCCATGCCACCAGAACAGCTTCACACTGGTTATGAGAGGAAGCTACTCACGCACCTGATCATCTTCGCGTCTTGTACAGACCAGAAGTTTCAAGCAGAGCTCCAGTAACACTTGAATTCAGATGATTCTCTCCTCCCTGTTTTGCACACAACCATTCCTAAACTGACCCACCTGACTGCTTTTTACTATTCATTCCACACGCTCCAATGGGAATGCCTTCAGAGCCATTCAGTTCTCCTCACAGATGATTTGTACCGATACTTCTCCTGAACGACTGGAGAGAGAGCAAAGGTGTCTCCTAGGATAGGCACGAGGCAGCAACTTTTACTGTTGTTTTGAAATAAGGTTTTACACGAAGGCTGACATTTACACCCACGTTTTCTAAAACCATTTCCCACATCATCTTCTGAGCAAGATTCTCCAAGAAAATACGCTTTATCGACTATCATGTGTGATCCATAGCTTTATTATCTCTCGTGCACCATCAGCCACTTCTCTGTTGTCTGAGCCTTGCACG